GAGAGAGAGAGAAGTCATAAATCTGTGCTCCTGTTAGTGTGCTAGTGTGAGTCCAATCTTTCTCCTATTTTTGTTCCCATTCTAATTCAAAATGCCGATCTTTTTATATCTTTTTATATCTTTTTAAGTCTTTTTATATCTTTTTAAGTCTAGTTAAAAAAACAGCAATTATATTTACACCAGCTTCAAATTTTTGATGAATTTGTGAACTGAAAAATCACTCAAGAAAATGCACATAAAAACCTACTGAGAATTTTTGTTCCTGCACCTGGTCCTGAGGAAGCAGTTGACCGTTCCACCATGTTCTGGAGAGATGAGGACGTCATCATGACTTGGGCTGGTTCCAGAAGGTTCTTGTTCCGCCTGACCACCCACCACATGGACAGAAAACATTTTAAAAAGGCAGACGTCAGCGTTCTCGGCCGGCGACGAAAGACTCAACTCCTATTTCTATTGGCCAGTAAGACACGTTTGTGTCGTTCCCGTTTACCCTCTTCCATCAGAAGGACACATAGCCTGTCATTTTCAGCCTCTCTAATTAAATGCACATTTTTGTCCAGTCCCCCAACTCCATATATTCATAATATTGGTCAAATTAAAAATACACATGATAGTACTTCCTTTCTTTATAAGAATCTGATGCTTGAAGGCGTACTTTTTTTTTATCAACAACAATTTGGATCTAGATTTAAAGTCACTTTCCAAATGAAGATTGCTCATCAAATTCCTCGACAACACACCGGCTTTTTCTGCATTTAATCTCACTGTCCGCCTCCCTGATTTTGCCGATGGTTAATGTGTCGACACAGTGAACTAAATACATCTGAATCGAAAACTGTCCGTGATACAAAATGTTACATGAATGCTAAATAACAGAGCAGATTTAATTCTGGCCGTTCAGGAAAATCCATGAAATTAATTACTGCTGACAGGAGTTAAGGAGACAAACAATTGTCAGCCGTGCAAGACTCAATCCCATTATGCTTGGCGAAATAACATGAAAACGGTTTCGATACAGAATACTTCGCACAATCAGAAACAGTTCAAGGACCACATGTTCCCACAATCAACTTTAACAAAGGCACACAGGATTCACAATCAAAGTTCTGAGGTCGTGAGGGTTTTTTTTACAGCGCAATCAACACGCATGTGGTCATTGGAGGTGAGGAAAACGTGACACGGAGCAGGGAGCAAAACAAGGCAAGAATCACAAAACACTTGAGGGGGGGGGGGGGAAGTATGTATGTCTATTTGTGTGAGTGGACAGTAATGAACAAGAAATATCTCCCTGTGATAGTCCCATTTTCTAACAAACAAACAAATCCTATACCACACAAACACACATTGCCAACTCTACTTCTCTCTCTCTCTAATCACCAGAACAATCGTTAGCCCTTTACTAACACAACATCCAAACATAACACCCCCCCCCCCCTTCCCCCTCCCAAAGTTATAACCATTTCCCCATAGAGTGAAAAGATTAAAAATGTCAAAGATCACGTTATCATACGAAATATAATATATATATATATATAATATATGAAATATATATATTGTGGAAACAGATCCCTAGAAGGACCCGAGGGTCCATCCGCCTCACCAAACCATATGTGTACACCGTCCTATCTACAGAACATGTTCCCAACAAAAACCGACGCCGTAAAACGTTCCTTCACGTGGGAATACGACCGCCCCACGCCCCGACAGAGAGGAAGGGAGGGGAACGTCCGTCAGCACATAGCTAGTCAAAGTATACAGTGCCTTATGTATAAAATATACACAACAGTTGTACTTACATAACAGAAGTCTGTGCAGGAGCTCAACATGTTCGTGGTAAGAAAAATTCAATAAAATAGAAACTTTGTCACCATTTGTTTGTTTTTCTGTCTGTCTGTCTGTCTGTCTGTCTGTCTGTGTTGTCGCCGTCGCTCAGTACAAGTGAAAGGTTGTCGAGGGTGGACTGTCCGTGCAGCGCCGGCACCCGAGGACGCACAGGGCAGCCGTTTGTCTCAGAGAGCTATGCACAAAATATTTATTATGTTGGGGCCCTCGCAGCAAGAACAATCAACAGCGGAGTAAAAAGAAACAATTTTAAAATGATTAAATCTGCCGCCACGCTATCGTTCACAATATCACGCTATCACCATCCTTCACCATGTCACATCATGCAATACTTCTGCACACCAATTACCATCACTTTAAAGCACTCTCGTTCACCTCATATAATGCCATTACTTTGTAGCACTCTCGTTCACCTCACACCATTACTTTGTAGCACTCTCGTTCACCTCACACCATTACTTTGTAGCACTCTCGTTCACCTCACATCATTACATTGTTTGCAGCACTCTCGTTCACCTCACATCATTACATTGTTTGCAGCACTCTCATTCACCGCACACCATTACTTTGCAGCACTCTCGTTCACCTCATATCATTAGGCCTACTTTGTACTACTCTCGTTCACCACATATCAACTCACAGTACTCTCGTTCACCACATATCAACTCACAGTACTCTCGTTCACCACATATCAACTCACAGTACTCTTGTTCACCCTGTCACTCACAAACAGGCACATTCACAACGCCTGTGGGTTAATTCTTGCTTTCCGTGACTTTACCGTACTGCCATACAAATGGCAACTGCCATACCATACAGCCGGCCGTTACTTCAAAGGCAATGAGTTCACGGAAACGCCACCAAGACCTGCCGAGAGCTCCAGAACTTTCTGGTAAGCGTCTCAGCAGACATTTCTGTCGCCATTTCTTCATTCTCACAGAAGTACACAGCCATCTAAAACAAAATACAACAAAATCTGGAAAGATCAGAGACTTTGATGAGTTGACCTACTTCACAGAAATCGGTTCTCACAGACGGACGATTCACTTGAGGCCAAGTTCAAGCAATTCACATGTCTTAATATAATCCATCTTCAGGCAAATCCACTTGTAACTTATGATACCTCCTGCAAACTCATCCACAAACCCACACAAACATGCATATATACAAACACAAACCCACACAAACAGGCATATACAAACACAAACCCACACAAACAGGCATATACAAACACACACACACACAAACAGGCATATACAAACACAAACACACACAAACAGGCATATACAAACACAAACCCACACAAACAGGCATATACAAACACAAACCCACACAAACAGGCATATACAAACAAACACACACACACAAACAGGCATATACAAACACACACACACACACAAACAGGCACATACAAACAAACACACACAAACATGGGCACCGTGCTGAAATCTCAGTCACCTTATGTACAAACATATCACCATCATTCCCCCCCCCCCCCACCACACACACACACACAATAAGTGCAACACACTATCCCATAAACAAACACATCTAAAAGAGGCCCTGGAGCACAGTCATCCACAACCACACACCTGAATACACGCACACATCCCAACACCCATCAAAGGCTTGCCGTACCTAATACACAAACTGACCACATTTTTCATAACACAACAATACCGGCAGTACGTCTTGGCCTGACAATACCGGCAGTACGTCTTGGCCTGACAATACCGGCAGTACGTCTTGGCCTGACAATACTGGCAGTACGTCTTGGCCTGACAATACCGGCAGTACGTCTTGGCTTGACAATACCGGCAGTACGTCTTGGCCTGACAATGCCGGCAGTA